CTTGTTTAACTCCCCATTCATATAGTTGATTTTTATATAAAAGAGTTGTAAGGGGAGTAGCTATTTTAGAACTACAGAGTATAAATTTCTGATAATAATTTACTAAACCTAAAAATGAGTGAAGCTTATATATATTTTGAGGTGCATTCTATGCCTTAATTGTTTTAATTTCTTTGGGTCTGTCATAATTCCTTTTGAAGACACTACATAACCCAAAAATTCTACACTAGTTTTTCCAAATTCACACTTATCAATTTTTCTATATAATTGATTTTTTCAAAATATCTCTAACACTTGACTCATATGTTTTACATAATCTTTTTGTGATTGCTGTAAACTAAAATATCATCAAAATAAATTATTACAAATTTATCTAAGAAGACATCATTCATTAAATGCATAAAAGAAGCTGGTGCGTTTGTCAAACCGAACGGTATTACAAGGAATTCATAATGACCATAACACATACAGAATACCGTTTTGGGAATATCATCTTCTTTAATACGTATTTGATGATACTCAGAGTGCAAATCAATTTTACTAAAAATTTTAGCACTAATAAGTTGATCCAATAGATCGTCTACGCAAGGAAGAGAATATTAGTTTTTAATTGTAATTTTATTCAACATCCTATGATCCATACATATATGAAGAGAACATTCCTTCTTTGCTACAAAAAGTACTGGGGCTCTGTAGAGGGAAGAACTTGGGCAGATTATTCCTTTTTTTATATTCTCTTCTAATTGTTTTCTCAATTCTTTCAACTCATGAAATAACAATCTATAAATGAAGCCAAATGGGGGTGCCATACCTTTTTGAAGGGGAATTTCATGATCTACATTTTATCTTAGAAGTAAATTATTTGGTAATTCTTCTGAGAAAATATCTTGGTATTTGACCACCACTGCCTTTAAAAATTCAGGAATGTCTGGTTTCATATTACTTTGTATTTCTGGTATATTTGAAGCTAATACTACAAACAACTCTGCATTATTTTTGGCATCCTTTGCCAATTGTAATTATGAAATTGTTGTTGTAGGGGACTCTACTTGTTTCCTGCTTGCTCTGGCACTTATTCTATAGGCTTTTTGGTGTTGCCATATTGAAATTTCATTTGTCCTCCAGTTAATTCTAGGATTATTATCAGACAACCACAGTTTTTCCAAAATTGCATCATACTTCTGTAATGGTAAAATCTCTATTCAGGATCTACTTTCTTTCTAGGAATACATTTGGATTTTTACACCTGATATGTAACTACGTGATTAACAAGGTGTTCCATCAGCCAATTCTACCATATTTTCTTCAAAACCTTCATTAACCATTAAGTGATGTGCTTTCACAAATTGAGAGTTAATAAAATCTTTAAACACTCCCAAATCTATCAAGATAAGAGCTTCCTTTTCACAAATTTTTCCTTTAACTTGTAAGAGTCTTTCTTTCTTTTCATTTCCGAATACTGGTTCTATTGAACTGACTTGTTTAACATTAGTGTTTGAGCTTGACAAAGGTTCAGGATTCAGATTGGCATTATTAGGGCATGTTCTGGCTATGTATCCTTTTTGTCTATATTTGAAACATAAACCCTTTTGTTTAAACTTCTTTTTCTTTTCATGTCTTGTGTTTTTAATAAATTTATTTTTGTTTTTTTTGAATTTCTTTATTTCAGTTTTGTCAAGTTCCATTGGGCCGCACCCATATTTCAACTGTTTTTGGAGCATTATTTTTAAGTTCTCCAGAAACTTGGTATCCAACACCATACATCACTATTTTGTATGTCATCGCCAAGCGAATTGCTTTCTCTAAATTTTTCAGTAGCTGATAACTAACTTCAGCTTTGGTGGCTGCTTTTAACCCTTCCATGAAATAGAGGATCTTATAGGCTTCATCCATTTTTTTCACTTGTCCAAGAATGTTTCTGAACCTTGAGATATATTTTTGCACTGTCAAGGTTTGTTTTATGTTTCTTAATTGTCACCTCAAATATTGTTGATGTTGTAGAGATTGAAACGCCAGTTTTATTTCTTTAGAAAAATTATTTCAACTGTCAAACAGCGTCTAGTTGTTATAAGCTTGAACTTTATTAAGATACCACTAAAGTGCCGTATCCTTTAATCTGGTTATTATATACTGTAAGCGTTCTTTATCTTCAATCTTGCATGCCTTATACAGTAAATCAACTTGGAGTAACCAAGTCATAACATTTTCATCTTGTTTGCTATGAAATACCAGCAACTAGACCAACAACCCTTTTGTGTGTTGAGGTTCATAAATGTAGGTTACACCTTCTGTTGT